ACCCCCACACACACCACATCACTCCCTGTCTTCCCTCCTGTCAGTAAAGGGGCAGCCTGTATTTTCACAGGTGGGGCCATGGCTTCGTGTATACAGACCCCAGTGGCCCTGGCTGGGCTCGAAATAAAACCTGAGCATTTGATTGCATGTGGATAAATTCCTTTAGATAGGGCTACAGTCTGCTCTCCCTGATGAAGGAAAAGTGTAGAAATGGCATTTAAAGTGAATATATTGACAGATTTTCTTTACCAACTTAAATCTAAAGGTTTTGATAATTCCCTTATATTGTGGGGTTTTCTTTTGCCTGTTTAGTAAGAATTGCTCTCGCATTTGACCAAGAGGGACAATTTTCTTTGCTTTTATTATCTGAATAGTTACCAGGTTTTTAACATGGAAGCCAGTTAAATAATGAGAAAGACTTAGGTAGAATTTTTACAAATCAGAAGAGCAAATTTATTGTGTAAATATAAAAATAGGCTCTAATGAACTTCAACGTTACATGGTTGTCCTGCCATTCCACACAACTCATTAATTGTATTGATTTTTTTTTGCTTTCTTTAGATTTTTCTAGAAGTGATTAACTTCTTTTGGAAGGAAAAAATACACCTAACTAAGCCTCCTAGACCATCAGGGTCTAATTCTGTTCCTTTAAAAACTGTAATGCCAAATACCGTGAAGGGAGATAAATAGTTTACTTCACAGTCAGTGAGTCAGCTGAGTGCTTTCTCAAAGTTATAGTAGGAAATAATCAATTCTTACAGCTTTTCTCCTAGTTCAGCATTAAATGTCGGATGACACTCTTGGAGAATACACCAGGAATTTGGCCCTTTGGGAGAGTCGGGGTGTTTTTATTTTCTTTGAGAGAATTTGGGTTTTTAAAAAAAATTTTTTTAAACGTTTATTTATTTTTGAGACAGAGAGAGACAGAACATGAACGGGGGAGGGTCAGAGAGAGAGAGGGAGACACAGAATCCGAAACAGGCTCCAGGCTCTGAGCGGTCAGCACAGAGCCCGACGCGGGGCTCGAACTCACGAACCGCGAGCTCGTGACCTGAGCCGAAGTCGGACGCTTAACCAACTGAGCCACCCAGGCGCCCCGAGAATTTGTACATTGACTGTGCAGTATTGATAAAAGCAGAATGGCTTCGGTGACTCACTGCCTTGGTTCATTCCTCCCTTTGTCTTTGGGGGTTTTAATTTGTCCTTCAACTTCCGTAGGGAACACCTGTGTTTGTGCACGCTGGCCCCTTTGCTAACATCGCCCATGGCAACTCTTCAGTGCTGGCTGACAAAATCGCGTTGAAACTGGTTGGTGAAGAAGGATTTGTGGGTAAGTCATTTCTTTTTAAATTTAGTTGTAGAATATGGAAGAGATCTAAAAATCGGTGGCAGAAAAACAGCGATACCCACTCTGACCTGAAACATATTCTCTCAGACCCACCTTTCACAGAGGGTCTCAATATTGGAAAAGCCCTGTGGTCTGGTCTATACTAGATGTGGCGATGGAACCGTAGCTTCTCACGTCAAGTTCGTATGGGTTTGAATACGCGGCCTGACATTCGCTGGCAGAGCGATCTGGGACACATTTTTAGCGACCCTCTGAGCCTCAGTTTTCTCATCTGTAAAGCGGTGATTACAACATGGTTTCAAACCTCGTAGGGTTATTATGAGAACCAAGTGAGATGATTGATCCATTCAGCAAATATTTATCGCGAACCTAGCATGTGCAAGGCGTGCCACTCGGAGCCTGGAAACACATGACGAGCGAAACAGACCAGGCCCGGCCTTCGTGGAGCGTAGGTACAGAGTTGTCATCCTGTGTGTGAGTAACAGAAGTACCAAACGTCCGCCGTCATTAGCAGTAGAAATCAGTTTGCTCTTCCTCAAATTGGAGGATTAGTTTGTGTCTGACAGAGGGGAGACTGCTGCCCATGGACTTGGAAGATTTCACTGGTAGGACTTCACACTCTCTGCTGCTGCCAAGCTCCCCTTGGTGGTGTCTGCTTCTCTTTGGTTTCCATTGGCCATTCCAGACGGAAACGGGGGGCGACTACCGTAGAATGGGCTCTGGCACTGCTGCCCCGATGCCCCCTGTGAGGTTACGGCAACAAAAGACAAACAGGTAACAAGGAGTCTTGGTCTAAGCGCCAGAATCTGGCATCAGACAGACCGCACCGGCAGATCTTCATGCGCCAGCGGGTGATTTCCACTCGCCACGTTGGTGCCGGTAATCGTCAAGTCTCATGGTCGCGGCTTTCGCGCTAATCACGAGCCACCTATCGACCTCAGAGAAGTGAGTTCTTTCACTAGAAAAGGTTGTGAGCCCTGCACTCTTCTGCCCAGCCATTATAAAGTTCATTCAGGGTTGTTGAGACTGTTTTTAAGAACTCCCTGTAGGCATGCAGTCGGGATCAAATGAGAATTTATGTGGTTCATTCCTCCGGGTCTGTACTTGGCTGCTGGGGTACCAAATCCACTATAAGACTGGCTAGACATGCTGTCGAAATGGATTTGCTCGATCGATCACAGCATAATTGCAGAGCTAATGGACAAGGAGTCTGCACAGGGCAGGCACTGAAAAGCGGGGTGCTTCTGTGAAGTGGTGGTCCTGACGTATCCACTCCACAAATAAAAGAGCTTCTAGAAGAAAGCACTCTGTTTTGTGCCAACAGAGCTCTCTGTACCGATCTTTACTTTGTCTTCATATATTTCTAGAATATGCGTTTCCGTGGCAAAGCATCTTTAAAGGTGTATGCTGAGGGGGCGTGCAAAACATACTAGCTTCCCGTGTGACCTTGGACACACCATTAGCCTCTCTGGGCGTGTCCCTGGGAGACATTCTCACGTGAAAAGTGAGAAACTGGACCGGACTAGGAATTGCGTGTGGATGGGCAGCCGTGACCCTGAGATCGAAGCTGTGGGATCATGACCGTAACTGGTAGTTACCTAACTTCTCCAGGGTTCACCTTCCTCTTTTGGTAATAGAATACCTTGCAGTAATTTAATGAGTACTATCAAATGAGGAATTGCTGTGTAAACCATGGAGGACCAGGGAAGTGTCAGTGATTTCGCTGATGATTTCTGTGATCTCTTCTAGTCTTAAGGGGCTGTAAGCGGGGGAGAAGTCAGTGCCGGACATCTGTCCCCTGCCAGATGGTTTAGGGGACCGGCTCAAGAGTCGGTATCTGGCTCCTTCCAAGTTGGGTCACTTCAGGTAACTTAACCCTTTTTAGCCTCAGTTTCCTTATCTGTAGAATAGGGCTTTATATAAGACTTGCTTCACAGCTTTGAAATCAGGTTTAAGCGAGACTGTGCACGCTAAGCCCTCGCACAGCGCCTGACATGGGGTGAGACTCAGCAATTCTAAACCACTTATTATTATCATCCTCTCCGTTGCCGATACGTGACTAATAAAGGTTAACTTGCCCTTTTTTTCTTTTGTTTCTTCTTTTCCTTTGGTTAGTGAGTTTATTTTTAGCTGTGGGAGAATCCATCTAACATAGAATTGATCGTCTTAGCCATGACTAAGTGTACCAGTCAGTAGTCAAATGCTTCCCTGTTATTACAGAACCATCATCACCATCCATCTCAAGGACTCTTCATCTTGCGAAACTGAAATTCTAAATAAAAAATTTTTTAATTCCTCTAATCACTTTCTGCCATAAGAATAGTCTCATTTTAGGGGCGCCTGGGTGGCGCAGTCGGTTAAGCGTCCGACTTCAGCCAGGTCATGATCTCGTGGTCCGTGAGTTCGAGCCCCGCGTCAGGCTCTGGGCTGATGGCTCGGAGCCTGGAGCCTGTTTCCCATTCTGTGTCTCCCTCTCTCTCTGCCCCTCCCCTGTTCATGCTCTGTCTCTCTCTGTCCCAAAAATAAATAAACGTTGAAAAAAAAAATTTTTAAAAGAATAGTCTCATTTTAATTTTAATTTTAAAAAGCGTGTGTGCTGTCTCGCACAAAAATAAGAAAACTCCAACTTTCATTCATATTTAAGCTTCTCCTCTCTCTTACGTTGGACCTGCCTTTGACCGATAACGGGAAGGGAAAGGTGGCTTCTTCTCTGTCCCCCATCATCTTGTCCTTAGTCCCTTAGTCTGCCTCTGGCCCCTCCAGGGTTGAAGCTTTGACATTCAGTGGTACCCATCCGGTCTCTTCCAGCAGAGGACCCGCACTCTTGGCAGAAATCCTCCGGGCAATATCCTTTTTAGACAGTCCCGCTGCTAATTCAATACCTGATCTCCGGGCATCATAGACCTTCAACCCGTGTTCTTCCCGTTGGTGGGAGCACAGTTACACGTCTCACTTGAGCCTCTGTTCTTTTGCCAGCGGCTGTTTCCTTTCAGCCTGCAGGCTTACTCATCCCCAGTCGACCACTGTGGGTCTCTGCCTCAGTGAGCCTTTCCAGTCCTGCTTCTAAAGCCTCACTCTCTAGCTCTGCACCCTTTCCTCCGGGGGGTGGGCAGTGGGACTCTGCACCCTGGTCATTTTCTTTGAAGAAATCCTTTCGTGGCTTCTAACTTTGAAACTTCAAGGGAGCTGTTGGGCTAAAGGATGCAGAATCTGTTTCCAAACAATGTCTTTGCAAATGTTGCTAGGTTTAGTATCAGCCTTTAGTGCGAGAACAACTGACGCTGTTTGGGGGCTTCAGACAAAAGGGAAACCAAACGAGCCCCATTTTAACGTGGTCTCAAGGAAGATAAATGCAGGAGACCTAGGTTTATCTGAAGCCTGTGGGAAAATGTATGCCCTTAGAAAAGTCATTGTTTATAGAAGTCTGTCTTTCTTACTGTGTAAGAAGCCCAAACCTAGAAGAAGAAGATTGATAATTTGGATTACATTTAAAAATAAATTGTGGGGGCACCTGGGTGGCTCAGTCAGTTAAGTGTCCAACTTCAGCTCAGGTCATGACGTCACGGTCTGTGAGTTCGAGCCCCGCGTCCGGGCTGTGCTGACAGCTCAGAGCCTGGAGCCTGCTTTGGATTCTGCGTTTCCCTCTCTCTGTACCCCTGTCCCACTCGCTCATGCATGTGTGCATACTCTCTCTCTCTCTCTCTCTCTCTCTCTCTCTCTCTCTCTCTGTCTCAAACGTAAATAAACATTAAAAAAATTTTTTTACTAAAAGTAAATTGTGTCTGATAAAAGATAGGGGATTTAAAAAACAAGAGAGCGCGTATGAAAAAACATTTGCAGAGGTAATAGACAAATGACTAACAATCGGAGTATATATAAACCACCAAGGATTATAGATTGATTTTTTTAAAGCAAGTAATCCAGTAGAGAAATGGGCAAAGGGTTTGAAAGGGTAATTCACAGAGAAAGAGCAATCTGACAGAATTTCTGGGTCAGACTGAAAGTGGGCAAATGATCTGGCATTTTCAGTTCTATGTGATACCCTGGAGAAGAAGTAACTGAAGATTTATTTAAGTCCTTTGGAATAATTTACTTAAGTACACGTTCATTGAGCTCCTGCTATTTGTCAAGTAATATATGGTAGAAGCTTGGAATCAGATACGTAGGACATGTTTCTTGGCCTCCAGTAATTTACAATGTGGTGTGAGAGATAAGCCCATAAAGAGAATCTCGATGGAAGTACAATGCACGTATGAGATTAGGTATCATACTGATGAATGAAGAACCTTCAGAGATGACGGGCATCTCTTACAATTTTCCCCACACTGCAGGTTTCATGAAGTACGTTTAGTCTAAGATATTTCTGTGTCCCAACACACACAGGAAGGGAATTATTTTGTCTACTCTGCAATAATTATTCCAAGATAATGGAATCAATATTCCATTTAGACTTAAAATCGAGTGAAGTTTATTGAATTACAGTTGGCTCTCGAACAAGTTGGGGGTTAGGGCACCGACCTCCATCCTGTGTAGCTGAAAATCTGCATGTAACTTTGGACTCCCCAAAACTTAACTACTAATAGCCTACAGTTGACCAGAGCCTAAACACAGTCAGAGAACACATATTTTGTGTATTGTATGTATCATACACTGTAACCTTACAGTGGAGCCAGCTAGATAAAATAGTATTAAGAAAATCATAAGGGAGGGGCGCCTGGGTGGCTCAGTTGGTTGGGCGGCCAACTTCGGCTCAGGTCACGATCTTGCGGTCCGTGAGTTCAAGCCCCGCATCAGGCTTTGTACCGACAGCTCAGAGCCTAGAGCCTGCTTCGGATTCTGTGTTCCCCCCAACCCCTTTTTTTCCCCCTCCCCCACTCATGCTCTGTCTCACTCTGTCTCTCAAAAACAAATGTTAAAAAAATATATACTAGGAAAATCATAAGGGAAAGAAAATATTTTTATAATACTGTAGGTATCGTATC